AATAAATTTTACTTTCTTAAAGTGACAGTGTCAAATTCATTCATCTGCGGTTGAGTTCCACATGAAGTTTTCCTAAAGTATTACAGTTTGGTATTTTAACAGCAGATGCTTCCAGAAGTGGCTCTGGTGCACATCTAGGTAGAGAAGGAACATATAGAGCAGCCTTCCCCAAACTCCGGCCCTCGAGATGTTGCTGAACTACAACTACCATGATCCTATGAATGAGGCTGAGAATCATGGGAGTTGTAGTTCAGCAACATCTGGAGGGCCAAAGTTTGGGGAAGCCTGATATAGAATATTCAAGATTCAAAGAAATCATCCAATTTCAGAGAATTAAAGGTAATTTGGCTGGCACTTCTCTTCTACTAACACAGAATATAGGGAAGACACATACAAATAAGAATAAAAAACTCCACATCGATGGCATATTTAAACAGACAAAGGGGAACTTGTTCAGTCCTTTTAGAAAAAGTTTTTTTAATTCGCATGCTTTGGTCAGAAAGTCATCTCCTGTCCATTTCAGCAGTACACATCAAAGGCGAAAGAAATTACCTGGTGGACGCTCTAAGCAGTGATTACTGGAAACAGGGAGATTGGTCTCTATTGCCTCTAATTATTCGATACATTGTGAAGGTATTCAGAATGACAGATATAGACGTGATGGCTACAAAAGAAAACAAGAAGATTCAAAGATTTGCATCAATACACTTTTCAGGCAACACAGATTTCCTAGATGCAATGGCTTTCCAGTCGAACTTTTGTCTGGCATACATCTTTCCTCCAAACATGATGATACCCAGAGTGTTACAGAAAGTTGGGGAGGATAGGGCAAAGGTTATTGACATTCTCCCTTTTTGACCATGAAGAAGCTGGTTTTCAGTCCTCCTCAACCTGTCCACCAATACTTTCTAGAAGATTCCAATAACAAAGAATATGCTAGAGCACAACCTGGTCCCTCTGAAGACTCTTAAAACATTCAAGTTGACAGTATGGAGTCTGAATGCAAGATCTTGACTTGTTAGTGTGGCAGCTAATAAGGAGTCTGCATCTAACATTGCAAGAGTCTGTAATACATTCTGTGACTGGCGCAACAGTATAGGCATTGAGCCCTTATCTGCCCCAATTCCTCAAATTCTTACATTTCTGTAACTGGGCTTTGCCAAGGGTCTCCGCCAGGCTACCCTGAAGGTTCAGATAACGGCAATAAGTTTGTTTGCCATAAAAGACTCCACTTCAGATCCCGGAATTCCCAGATTCTTCAGAGCAATTTCCAGTCTTCTACCCACCATCAGAGAACTCATGCCTCCTTGGGATCTGAACCTGGTTCTATCAGCAATGTGTGTGGCCCCTTTTCAGCCAATAGATTCAGTTAGTCTTAAAATTCTCACTTTTAACACAATATTTTTGATTGCAGTTACATCTTCCAAGTGGCTAAGTGAACTACAAGCAATGTCTACATCTCTTCCTTAACTAGTCATTCATTTGGATAAAGTGGTCCTTAGATTGCATCCTTAGATTCCATCCTTTTTTGGGGGGAAAAGCAAACATCAATCAGAAAATTAATCATTCTTACCTTCTGTCAAAATCCTCAGAATGCCACTGAACAAAAATGTAATTGCTGGATGTCGAACACAACTTACAGTTATATATAGAGAAAACTAAAGCATTTAGAAGATCTGATAGATTGTCCTCTTTCAGGGGCAGAACAAAGGTCATGGCTATTTTCTACGTCAAGGCGTTTAGAGCTGCCGCAACTCCATCTTAGATATGCAAGGCAGCAACATGATCTTCTCTTCAAACGTTTTCCAAACTTTACAGATTGGACATACAGGCCTCGTAAGATTCAGTTTCTATGAGCAAGATGTTGCAAGCAGCAGTGAAGTAACGCTCTTTAGAGATTTTTTTTTTTTTTTATGCCAACTGTAGTGCACTGCCTCTAATCTGGAGGGAAAAGTTTTTAGTTAGGATTAAAAAGCCTATTTCCCTCCCTATTTAATAAATTACTTTGCAGTTATTTATGTTTATGTATTTACTGGGGATTTAAGGTAAGAGAGGTATTATATACCTAGGGGAGGAGAAGCTAGGAGTGGGAATTAATTTTCTTTTTATTTTTAGGTCTGCTTGCCTTCCCTCCAGATTAGAGAATATCCCAGCTTTAATCCACAGCCTCTAGTTCTAAGGACCAATGCAGGTGTCTTTTAGATGCCATTCATGGTTGCTTGTCACCAAGTGGGACCACTCAGTCCAATATAATTAGGAAGAACTTTATAGAAAAGGGATACAAACAAGAATCTCTAGAAGCTAACATAAAGGATATAAAGAAATTAGATAGAAAACAACTATTAAAATATAAACCAAAAGAGATGGGTATAGGATCAGACACGATCCCCTTCATATGCAAATACAAAAAAAGCAGTCAAAAAATTAAAAGGATCTTCAACAAATTCTGGCGAATCCTTAGGAATGACAACCTTCTGAGCACAATTTTACTGGAAAAACCTAAAATAGTATACAGGGGGGCACCTAACCTCAAAAAAATTCTGGTACATAATCATATAAAAACAACCCCACCAAAACCAGCTTTCTTTCAAAAGAAAGGCTTTTTTGGCTGCGGAGTCTGTTTGGCCTGCAGGAACACCAACAATGGGAAGAGACACGTAACAGAGTTTAAGGACCCTTATGAGCATAAGAAAAAAACATATAATTAAAGGACCACTCTAGGCACCCAGACCACTTCAGCTTAATGAAGTGGTCTGGGTGCCTGGTCCAGCTAGGGTTAACCCATTTTTTTATAAACATAGCAGTTTCAGAAAAACTGCTATGTTTATGAATGGGTTAAGCCTTCCCCCTAATCCTCTAGTGGCTGTCTCATTGACAGCCACTAGAGGCGCTTGCGTGCTTCTCACTGTGATTTTCACAGTGAGAGCACGCAAGCGTCCAAAGGAAAGCATTGTAAATGCTTTCCTATGCGAC